TTTGAAAACTCAATTGCAAAACTAGTTTGTTAGACTTCGTTAGGCAGTCTAAGGACCTGCAAAAATATGAAATTCACTCAGATCTACCGGAATTTTACCTTGCCGTGATCTTAAGTTTCGTTGACGGCCTAGAACTTAGATTTAGAGATTCAACAAGCTTCCCCAACTGTTCTAATGATCTCCCACACCAAAAGTGAGAAGATCTACGAACAAAAGTTTGAATATATGAAAATGTGTGTTCTTGGGGTGAAAATGGAGAAGAAATTGAAGAGGATAAGTTATGAGATGATATGATGAGTTTATATATATGTTTGCATTCAAAGTTTGATTTCGGTTGAGAATGGTTGTTGGACGAATTGATGGTGATGGTATTTTCGTGAATAAATGAAGAAAATGAGATTTCTTTGTACCTTTTATTTTCGTATTAGACTTCACGGTTGGACTTCAAGGACGAAAGTAATGACATTTTCGTTATTATCACAAATATGGTGAGGATAAAGAAGGAAAGAAAAAAGAGGGAAATAGTTTTGCATTTGACTACAAATTTTGTACTACTTGTGAAAACAGCCCTATTAATGTAGAAAAGTTGAAATTGTTAAATTTTTATATATCTTATTAAGTTTAACTCGTTTAAATGTGTGTTACGTCCATTACATTTGCTAACAAAATTTGGATTTTATTGCTATTTTATTAATTTAGCTTCAATTTTATAAAAGAACACACACACACCTTAAATCTACTGAATACACCAATTACAAAAATAACTAAAATAACTAAAATTATTTATGGTGTTAAAAGTATCTAATTTAATAAATTTCATGAGCTCACATGTCAAATACAAAGAACATCCATTGATTTTATAGAAAGTATAATATTCCATTGTTTAAGAGTGTTTTAGTTTCATTTTATATGGTGTTTTATTTGTTTTTGACTCTTTTGAATTTTGCAAATTGTTATTTAATTGGTTGAATTGTTTTGAAGTTGATAATTAAACAAGTTTTATTTTTAAAATTTAATAATTTAATGAATTCTTAATTTGTATGCAAAAACCTTAAACACTTTATACACAGTATGTATAAACAAAACAAATATCAAATATATACCTTTCTGTGTGTGGTAAGAGATCAAATATACATATTTTTAATGGTTACCAGAAACAGTATATGTTCTGTCAAGCTCGGCTACACATTTTCTAACCAAAGTACATGCTTAGACTCAAAGTACGATTTTTTAAGAGAAAATATATATGAATACGCGGAATAATATATGCATGTTTGTTCCAAATAATTTGAGTAACTTTAAAGCATATTTACGCACACGGCACACACGCAATTTTATATTATAGAATATAAAAACCTCTCAAATCTTGCTCTCATTTCTCTCCTTATATAAACCAAACAGTCCCGCTTCTTCTTTCTTCATCAAACCCTCAAAACAACATTAAACAAAGAGTGCTTTTTGAGGCGTAAACACAAACAAAAACCAAAAAAAAAAAAATGGCATTCTCGAAGAAACTCATTTTCGCGATGATCTTTACGGTCTTTGCAACCTCAGAAGCTGCTCTTGATGCTCATTACTATGATCGATCGTGTCCCGCTGCTGAAAAAATCATACTTGAAACTGTTAGGAACGCTACTTTGTATGATCCCAAAGTGCCTGCTCGTCTTCTCAGAATGTTCTTCCACGATTGCTTCATCAGGGTATGTGCTTCTTCTTTCTTATATGATCGTTCATAACTCATCCATCTAGTGAAGATCTTGGGTTGTTGTTGTTGTAGGGATGTGATGCATCGATTCTACTAGATTCAACAAAGCCAAACCAAGCTGAGAAGGATGGTCCTCCAAACATTTCGGTACGGTCATTTTACGTGATCGAAGACGCTAAGACAAAGCTCGAACGGGTTTGCCCTCGAACTGTGTCTTGTGCCGATGTAATCGCCATCGCAGCCAGAGATGTCGTCACTCTGGTGAGTCTTTCGTAATAGAGTGGTCCCTTAAGGTCCATATATGATTTAACCATTTGGGTTTTTTATTTACTTTATCCTAACCCTAAGACTTGCAATATATGTCATTTCTTAGTCCGGTGGTCCTTACTGGACGGTGCTAAAAGGGCGAAAAGACGGGACGATATCGCGAGCGAACGAGACGATCAACCTCCCGGCACCAACGTTCAACGTGTCTCAACTGATCCAAAGCTTTGCATCAAGAGGCTTATCGGTGAAAGACATGGTTACACTCTCCGGCGGCCACACGATAGGATTCTCACACTGTTCTTCCTTCGAGTCCCGGCTCAAGAACTTCAGCAAATCCCACGACGTCGATCCTTCAATGAACTTTGCGTTCGCGCAAACCTTGAAAAAGAACTGTCCGAGGTCCAACAACCGAGGCAAGAACGCAGGGACGGTCTTGGACTCTACGGCCTCGGTTTTCGATAACGACTACTACAAGCAGATTCTGTCCGGGAAAGGAGTGTTCGGGTCTGATCAGGCGCTTCTTGGCGATTACCAGACTAAGTGGCTCGTTGAGACGTTTGCTCGTGACCAAAAGGCCTTCTTCAGAGAGTTTGCAGCTTCCATGGTGAAACTTGGAAACTTTGGAGTTAAAGAGACCGGAGAAGTGAGAGTTAAGTCCAACATTGTCAATTAACAAGCAAATGAGAGTTTTCTTTTTCTTCAAATTTCATTTCATTTATATTTGATATACTATCATAATGTAAAACCATATATATATATATATATATATATATATATATATATATCTATTCACCAAATGTGAGTCATTTTAACATCAAACGGTTCATAATGATTTATGAATGTAAGCGATGTGAAGAAAACACAAAAATACAAAACAAGTTGATTGTTCATGCAAAAACAACATCAGAACGGAACACATACTTGACGCCTTTGGTAACATTTCTACCTTCGTGCAACATGCACTTGTCTCCATGGATGTGAAACAGAGCCATACCTTCCATTGGAGCTACCTCGGCTACGATACTGTTCCTCGAACCATAAAACACAGTCTCTCCACCAACTAAGGTCTCAGCTGAAGAAGAATCATTAGTCTTCTTGCTTGAATCGCTCTTGGATTTTGATTTGGTGCTGCTGCTGCTCCCACTTAGATATATCAACAATGTGTAATAAGTCCGGTTTCCATCATCCAGATCAACACTTTCATCGATGTGACGACCAAAATGTTGACCAGCACTATACCTGAAAGAAACCAACAAAAGTTTACAAAGAAACCAACAAAAGTTTACAAAGAAGGAAACTTGAAAAAGTTGGAAACTTTGATTGAGATTATGCAAAAAACCTGTAAAAACGAATGTTTGGATTCAACCCAATTGCGACTTTCCTCCTAATCTTGATATCAGTGAATAGATTGGAAAGCCCGGATTGCCACAATGTATCAGCAAGAACAGGATCGTTCACTGAGATTCGATGGTTGTCTCTGTAAGCTTCACCATAAGCTGGTCCACGACTTCCTTGGTGAGTGAAACCGAGAGACTCTGCGATTTTAACAAACCCTTTTGATTCATCAGGACTGAGACAGTTTTCAACCTGAAATCGTAAAAAAAAAAAAACCCAAACTTTTCAACAATTTATACCTCATGACTTTAACCCAAATCGAAATTGAACAGATTTAAAGCTGAATCGATGATAATGCCTTCAAAGGTTACAGCTTTAACAAGAAGGAACCGATAAATAGTATAATAGATTTACAACTTTTGGTGAAATCCAATTATGCAAAACTAAATTGGGGGACAGTTAATGAAATCGGTTTTGATGGAAACTGAGAGGAACTTACGGTGAAGAGATCGAGATTCTTGAGATAAGAGACACTGAGATTGGGTTTGAGTTTGATCTTCGGCCATTTGATTGTTGATGAAGCCAATTCTCCTTTGTCTCCCATCTTCGCGATTATGCCTTTCTGGGGAGGACGTAAGATCGGAGGATTTAAATTAATTAAATTCATTTTTATAAATTTATATAAAATCAAGATGATGAATTGACTAGTTGCACTGTTTTTAAAACCGGACCGGTGACCGAACCGGAAATGTTTTGGATCATGGGTTAATATGGTTCGATCCGGTTTAACCTGGTTTGATGATTTTAAAAAATAATATATATAATTTTATATATGAATATATCTATGATATTTAAACAGTATAGAAATATATATAAATTTTAAATATCAAATAAATTATTTAAAATTCATAATATTTGAAAATATTCTTTAACAAAACATTCTGAAAAAGTTAAAATTATCAAATAAAATAGAAAATTTATTGTTTAATTAGAAAACCGGGTTCATTACGGTTCAATGGGTCATCGGTTTTTTATTTTTTGTTGGTCGAACCCGGGTTTTTAACCGGTCTAAATATCTATGGGTTTTAGTAGTAACCCAACCCAGAGATGCTTCCGGTTCATGGTTGAACCCGGTCCGACCACCGGGTCGGTCCGGGTTTAAAAACACTGACTAGTTGTCTAGTTTACATTGTGATAAAAGGAAGTTTTTGAGACCCAACAATTTGTTGAAGCCCAAGCCCAAGAATCCAGAAACTCGATAAAGAAAACCGCAAGAAAAAATATCATAAAAGAGAAAAATGTTAAAGAGCTTAAAACTTTGAAGAATCTTGATTACATTAATAAATACATTATAGACTAGATCAGGCTCCGGGTATATGCTGATTTATTATACCATTTTTGAAATAAATCATGGAAAAATATTAAATAAAATTTGACATTTTAGAAGTAAGTAAACTAATATTAAAAACTCGATAATAAATCTCTAAATAAAATTAGATGGGTAATATTTTTACATTTTTATTATAATAGATATATTTTTTTCTGAATTCATGATAAGAAAAATAAATTAGTTTGTTATTTTTTTATTTGTATCTTAAATAGAAAGACTTATACATGTGTAAGTCTAATCGATTGATTAATTTGTGAAACTTTTATTAGTTTGTTCAAGAGATTTCAGTTGATGAAATCATTTTTTAAATATTTTTTTACGTAAAACAAAATATTGAAAAATGAAACTATTAAAGTTAGAATATCAGTTCATAATAATTTTTTCTTTTTAATATTAGTTAGTTGTTTGATAATTATTTTGTTAGTTTTCTATTTATATTGTTTTTTTTTTCAGTTTTGTTTTTTCCTTTCATATTGAGAATATGTTTTACTTCAGTTTTTCGTAATGGATATAACAAATTTTTTTAATTTTTTCTATTTTTTCTTTCTGATTTCCGTTTTTTTTCCTTTTCTTAATCAAAATATGTTTTTTTTTCTTTTTCCTAATAAATGTAACAATTTTTATTTCTAATTGTTTATTTTTTGTCTTTTCTTATTTTTGTTTTTCTTATACATATTAATTTTTATTCATGACACATGTCATGATCTTAATAATTTTAGAATTATAGAAAAAAAACACATGTTGTGATCCTATGAGTTATAAAAATCCTATAGGGTTTAGATAATACATTATTTTTAATTTTATATGTGATTAGATAATATAAATTTGATGAATGGAAAACATTTTTCTGTAAGGAACGACAAATAGAAATTTTCATTTTTACTATAATAGATTAAATTTTCAATTTTAATAAAATTTTCATTTTTATTTTTTATTTTTAAATTTTTTTTCTCAAGACATGTGTCACGATCTTAACGAACATAACATTACAACTGACACATGTCGCATTATTTTTTTATTTTTTTTGCGAAAACATGTGTCACGATTTTAACGAACATAACATTACAATTGATACATGTTACGATCCTATAAATTATAAAAATTCTACGTGTCGCAACCACGTCGCGCGCATCCAACTTTATATAATAAGATAATGTTGCAATTAGTTAATCATATAGTATTATAGTTAGCATGGTGGGACGCTTAAGTTAAATTCTTTTCGTAGTTCTCGTTTACAGTAGTGTAGATAGTATAAAAAATGTCAGAAGAAACATATTTGGTTAGAAAATATCAAAATACAAACCGTAACAAATGACTTTTAAGGTTATTAAGAAAAACATAATTTCAATTTTTCTGTTTTTTTTTTTGTAGAAAACCATTATTTATTGTCTAATTAGAAACAATTCAACCAGAAACAAAAAGATTCTAAATTAATTTGGTAAAAATAGAAAAAAAGTTGCAATGAAAATATAAAACATATTGAAATGACTCAACAACAAAAAAAAAACTGAATTTCTGTATTCTAATATTTTGTGATTTTTCTTTGGCATTCGACTAAACTGAAAAGACCCAACAAATTTCAATCCCAGTTTAATTCTCTTCCATAATCGGTTTGTCATAAACCAATAAAACCGGTTACATCAAACAAAACCCAAAACAGAGCTTGATCAACTGCGTATGCCAAGAGCATGAAGCAGCCACCTGAAGCTGAAGCTGAAAGCACAAAGAATAAGCACCACCATGCATAGAGTAGAGGAGACCATCACCTTCGCACCATCAAACTGCTATGAAGAGGAAGGATTCAATTTGGAGAACAAATCCTAAAACCGTTGTTGCCGTAGTCGGCCGCTTCTAGTAATCTCCTGTCCACGCTCTCAACTTAAGAGTCTTACTCATGACGCACCAACGGTTCAAGATTCCTATAATTCTTTGTCACCGCACGATGTTTGCAGCTCCACCAACAATCTACTGAATAACCACTAAACTCTTCCCGTAAAATTTGAAACCGGAGAAAGCTTCCCCAGATCTTGTCCTCCACAAATCTAATTGCGCAAGATATCGCCACCGAAGAAATATTATGGCCGGTGGCTGGAGAGACAAAGTGAAGACAACTAAAGAAAAAAATAGAAAAAATGGGAAAAATATATATGAAAGAGAACCAAAAAAATATATATAGCTTAAAAGATATTTATAATGAAACAGAGTTATATGCATTCCCAAAAAAAATACTACTATAGAAACAGACGACAAATTTACAACATTTAACCAAATTCAGAATAAAAAATGAGTATTATGGCTCTCCCAGAAAAATCAAAATGTGTCTACATGAATAAGAAGCAATATAATGTTGACTGAGAGTGTCCTACGACAAAAACAAAAATAAAAGAAGAAATCATATTCCCTTTATCATACGGATTTAGATTTTGGACACAATTTTAAGTTACTTTATTACACTTTTTCTTATTTTTCGACACATAGCCTATAGTTTTTTCTTTTAACAGAGAGGAATATTACTAAACATAACAAATAATGAAAATAACCATGTAAAAGAGGAAAAAAAGAATCTGTGTGTAGTCTGTAGAAGACGGGTCACAATTGAACAGAAGTCGACTACGATTTAGGGGAACTGAAATGAACATACGTGTCGTAATATAAATGGCTAGCATTGCACGTCATTGTACGATGATGTCGACACGCCGATCGAAGAACACTATTCTTTTCGATGTATTATTTATTCCACCCACTCTTAAATAAATAAATAAAAAACAACGTTTTCAAAATACTAGGCCTTTATATTTCCCTTTTTTTAAGAATAAAACGTTTCTTTCTAGTAATTTAAGTGTTATCTTCGGCTACATATTCTTAATTTTGCCAAAAACAGATAAAGTCGTGGACAATTCTTAAATCAGAACCGGGAGTCACTTAATTAATTGGTCCTTTTTCTGCAATTATTATTTTCATTCTTTTGTTGACCGTCTGGCGAAAACGCCGCAGGCGCGAAGCGTGGTAGGCCTGCGCCGGGTGAGCATAGGGGGAAAGGGATCCCGGACGGTGGAAGAGCCAGGGGAGGCCGGGTCATTTGACGGAAATGGAAGGAGGAACCCCTCTTATATAAATTATAAATCCAACTAGCATCACCTAAAGAAGAAGATACAAAATCTATTTTCTTCCTTTTTCTTTTTCCCTGTCGAATTAATCAGAAGATAAAAGAAAGCTTAGAGTTTAGGGTTTGTGGCTCTTGTACAAAGATACAGAGGTAAGCACAGCTAGTGCATAATAAGATCTACTTCACGTTTTCTTTCTGAAATTTTAGCTCTAGGGTTTAACTTTCCACCAATTTTATGCTTCTGTTCTTTACTTTTTCTTTGTGCTAACTAATAATTTATCATCTATACAAAAATATCCTTATCGGCTGATTTTAGCCTGGAAAAATTATGTTGTTTTGGGGCTTTTGAAGTGAATCTAGACATATCTGGTTTTGAATCTCCTCGGTTCCCTACATTTTTCTCAGTTTCCTCAACTTGACTTTTGGGTTTCAGATCTCCTCGTTTTTCAATAAACCATTTCTTGGTTTTGTCTGAAATAAATCTGAATCTTGGAACAAATATGGCAGGAAGATGGTGAGAGGAAAGATCGAGATCAAGAAGATCGAGGACGTGACAAGCAGACAAGTCACGTTCTCAAAGCGAAGGAGCGGTCTCTTTAAGAAGGCCCATGAGCTTTCCGTTCTATGCGATGCTCAAGTTGCTGCCATTATCTTCTCTCAGAGCGGAAGGTTATACGAATTCTCTAGCTCTGAGTAAGATTCTTTCATCTATCTATTTTAAAAATTTACAAAATACATTTATCTAATTTTAATCTCTCTAAATATATATGGACTAATTGAGTGTCTATAAGTTCTTTAGTAAATTGTATTTTTTTCTGGCCAAATCTTACTAGATATTTTGCAAGCTACACGTTAAAGATTTGGCTTTTCCTGTTTCTTGCTAGCTAGTTTCCGACTTTGTTAAAAAACAAAAAAGTGCGTTTTTATCACATTTTTTTTCTTTAACTTCTGGATTTATTTAAGATGAGCTAAACTTAAGGCTACCAATTAATTACAAACCAACAAAGTTTGGCTAAAGGTTGTTCTTCAAGCACGAGCAAGTGGATTAGGGTTTAGAGAAAAGAGGTGTCTTGATCAGTGAACCTCGTATTCCTTGGAACTTAAACTGTTACCCACTTGGCATCTAGTTTTATCTAGAATATCCCCAAAATGAAAGAAAAAATTATCAGTGATGATGATGATGACATTCATGATTCATGCACAAATGTAACGCCTCCCTGCCACAAAGTAGTCATGAATTACATTGCGCATGACAAAAAGATTTGAAAGTCCCTCCCCGGAATCCTAAAATCTTTCTCAATAATTTCTATCATGAATTTTCATTATAATACGAGTTTGTAGCTTACCAAATGTTGATGCATATAGTTCGTACAAACAATAAATCCCTTTGTCTCAGTTTGTATAGTTTCTGCCTAACAAATGGCAACCTTTTGTGGAAAACCCCAGTTTTCATTGGATTTGGTGTTTACAGAAACGAATTCGATAGCGTCTAATGCTATCCAAACCTAGCTCGATGGTCAATCATGTAGTCCACACATGATAATATGTATCTATATACTTTTTTTGTCAAACATGTATATACTTTAAGAGGATAATATTCACACATAAATTTCAAACCTCATGTGAATTTACATTTCAGCTTGGAGAAGACAATAGAAAGATACGGCCAATTTAGTAATGACTACTTTGTGGCAGGGAGGCCCCAAGTAGAATCATACTTGCAGGTTCATTTTCTATATATGTGTATATCTAATCTTGATTTTAGTATCTTGTTTTATTCAAAAGATTGATATATGCTATAATACTCGATTAGCATTTGTTTTTGGGGTGTGCAGGGGCTGAAGAAGGAAATGGATATAATGGTGAAGAAGATTAATCTCCTGGAAGTTCATCAAAGGTTCGTACTATACCTTACTATTTCTACGGTTTCTTATACATAATATATAAGCATACTTTATTTCGATCCTGAAATATGGCACTATATTTGAAGGAAGCTAATGGGGCATGGTTTGGGTTCCTGTTCAGTGGCAGAACTTCAAGAGATAGACACTCAGATTGAGAAAAGCCTTCGTATTATCAGATCAAGAAAGGTACAATTACAACACACACATACCAACACATGTTAATGATGTAGTAATGTCTTCATTGGTTGATTTTGGAACGTAGGCTGAATTATATGCAGATCAACTAGAGAAGCTAAAAGAAAAGGTAGTTTCTTTTACCTTTTCTTTCACTTAGTAGCTTACATACAAATTTTCATATAAACAAAAGAAAACTTACATACGGAGTTAAACTTATTAGTATCTTTCTTCAATGGATTTAGGAGAGAGAGCTCTTGAACGAGAGAAACAGGCTGCGTGAAGAGGTAAATCCGTACACACACACACACACACATCAACAGATACACACAAACATACACATACACATACACATCAAATTTAGTTATATACATAGTTTTTTTGGTAAGGTAGTTATATACATATTTTAGCGAGAAGTTTAGATACATAAAAAGTACATCGCATTTCTATTTTTTTTTTTTTTGTTGGTCAAACATAGCATTTCTAGTTAAGACCTTTTTCTTATGACAAGAATCATGGTTTACCTGAGGATTGGTTGGTTTTGAGAACTATTGAGTTATCACACACATGTCATCCATATAGGAAGGCTTGAGTTTCTGTTAGCTTTAGATTCACTTATTCACTGCCCACTCTCCTGTTAGATAGATCACGGCTCCTCTTAGTACTCGTATCAGTTGCTCTAAAGCTATGTTAGTGTATATTATTTCTTTATGAGTTACTGATATTCATATAGCTAACACTTATTATTTTGGTTTGCCTAAATTAATGAAGTGCATCGGTTATCAAAAAGAAAAGAACATATTGTACGTCATGGACTAGTATATCTTATATCATATAAAGCTCCATTTTGATAACTTATAATTTTTATAACTTACTGAATTCCAACATGTGTCTAGTATCGATCAGATGATGACATGAATCAACTCAAATTTTTTTTTTAAAGTAATAATAAAAATGGAAAACTAACAAAATAATTGTTGACCAATTAACTAATTCTTATAATGGTTTGATATTGTAAGATTCGTTTTTTATCATATCTTAACAGAAAATGTCAATTATGATTAGAAGAAAACAAGATTTTCAATCTTATTTTACTTAAAGAGTTCTTATGGAGTTGTCAATATGATTTTACTTATAATTCTTAAATGGATAAGATTTTGTTTGGTATTTTATCAGATCTCCTAATGAACCAAAGTTATGAACCAAAGTTGATTCTTATGTTATAGACTACAGATATATAAGCAGAAAAATTGTGTGTTTGTGTCTTCGGCCTTTGTTGAATATTATGCAACTCATATTTATATATATTGGACATTTTATACAATCGTTTGGAGAGTGCCTTATTTATATATATATATATATATATATATATATTGATTTCATCTATTAACATTGCATAAATATGCAAAGAAGATCCCTGTTAAAATAATATGAACATTGAATATGAGAACAGAAATAAAAATATTTAATTATTTCTAATGAAGATTAAGCCAAAACAGTATTTTAAAAATTCATTAAAAAGGCGTAGGGAACAACCAAATTAAGCAAAAAAAAAATAATAGTTAAAATTTAAAAGAGTTGTCTATTATATGTTTATATGATGTACTGTATGAATTGGGGGAGGGGTGTTTATTGTTAGGTTAGGCTTTAGACGGTAGGGTTTATATTGGTGGGTGTAGGGTTTCATTTTTTGTGTGTTTTAAAAATCCTTAGTTCTTGAAAAATTTAAAGGATAAAAATAAAATAGCTAAACAACTGAATTGTTTAATATTTTGTTAATCTCATATCGATTAACTAAAAACATTGCATATTCTTAAAATATCATTTGAAGTTTTATACAACAACAACAACAATTCCAACAAATGAAGAAAAAATAATAATTAAAATTTGAAAGAGTTGTTTATTATGTGTTTATGGTATACTGTATAAATGGGGGAGGGGGTTTATTGTAGGGTTAGGGTTTAGACGATAGAGTTTATTTTGGTGGGTGTAGGATTTAGTTTTTTTTTGTGTTTTAAAAATCATTAGTTCTTGAAAAATTTAAAGGATAAAAAGGAAATAGCTAAACAACTAAATTATTTAATCTTTTGTTAAAATCATATCGATTAATTAAAAACATTGCATATTCTTAAAATATCATGTGAATTTTTATACAACAATTACAACAAATGAAGAAAAAATAAAATTTAATTAAAATTAGAAAGAGTTTTCTATTATGTGTTTATGATGTATTGTATAGATAGGAGGGGGTGTTAATTGTAGGGTTAGGGTTTAGAATGTAGGATTTATAATGGTGGGTGTAGGATTTAGTTTTTTGATAAAATCCTTAGTTCTTGAAAATTTAATTAAAAAAGAAATCCTTAATTCTTGAAAATTTAATTAAAAAAAAATCCTTAGTTCTTGAAAATTCTAATGAAAAGGGAAATAGCAAAACAATTTAATTGTTTAATCTTTTGTTCAAATCATTCGGCATATTCTAAAAATATCAAGTGGATTTTTGTACAACAACAACAATTACACCAAATAAGAGAAACATATGTAGTTCAAAATGAAAAGAGTTGTCTATTATGTGGTTATGGTGTACTGTATGGATGGGGCGGGGGTAGAGGGGTGTTTATTGTAAGCTTAGGGTTTTAGAAGGTAGGATTTATGTTGGCGGGTGTATATTCCATTAAAATTGAAAGAGTTGTCTATTATGTGGTTATGGTGTATTGTATGTATGGGGGGTGGGGTGTTTATTATAGGGTTAGGGTTAGGGTTAGGGATTAGAAGGTAGAGTTTATATTGGTGGGTGTAGAGTTTACTTTTTTGTGCGTTTTTTTAATATTTAGTTCTTGAAATTTTTTAAGGATAAATAAATAAATAAACAACTAACTTTTTTTTTTCAAATCATATCAATTAAATAATAACAACAATTACAACTAATTAAGCAAAAAAATATTCCATTAAAATTGAAAAGAGTTGTCTATTATGTGATTATGGTGTACGGTATGTATTGGGGGTGTATATTGTAGGGTTAGAGTTAGGGTTTAGAAAGTATGATTTTTATTGGTGGGTGTAGGGTTTAGTTTTATGTGCATTTTTTAAATCCTTAATTCTTGAAAAAAATTAAGGATAAAAGAAATAACTAAATTAGTGCTGATCCAAATCATTGACCAGTTAAATTCAGATAGATTATACAATTATAAGTTTTAGTTGACCAATAATTTTGTGGAAAATTATTTGTTTACTCTAATTAAATTACATATAAAATAAAAACATTTATAAACAAAAGTGAGAAATAAAACATAGAAGAAATATAAAAACTAAAAGAACAGAAAGAAGAAGAAGATGACGAAGACAACGACGAATAAAAACCGAAAATAAGAAAAAAAAAACAAGTAAGACAAAGACGCTAAAAATGTTAAGAGAAGACAAAGACAATAAAAAAAGGGATAATTTGGGAATAAAAAAGATGAAGAAAAATAAGAAAATATTAACAGAGAATACGAAGATGATCAAGAAAAATATTGAGAATACTAGATTTAGACCCGCGCTATGCTGCGGGATTATTATTTTTGTTTTTATTTTCTACATAGCTTTAGTTACTTTCTGCATAATTTTATCTTCACTTATCTCAATTTTTTTAGGTTTTTCTGTTTTGGAAAACCTTATTTCAACTTTCAAACTCGGACATATCTAAATCCTTCTCGGTAAACTTCGAAATTGGAGTTATCAACACCTTCTCTTCTACGGAAACTGAATTCGGCTTATTGGTTTATTTTTTTTTTTTTCATTTAGTCACCCTATCAATGTTGTTCTTCTTCTTAGAATTTTTTAATTCATTTTTAATGAGTTATTATAAAAAATTAATTCTCTTTATATTATTTAGTTAGAGAAAACATGTTATTTAAAAATTGCCATAAAATACAATTTCTTCCTTTTCAGTTAAAAAACATGTTATTTGCTTTGCTATTACTATGTTTTTTTTTCACATTCAAATTACCATAGTTTACTTATTTCTTCCTCTGTTTTAGCTTCTTCTGTTTTTTTTGGGACGAAATCTTCTCCTACATTTGTATTCCTTTTGATAAACTTAATATTACTATGTTCAGAGTGAGATCAGTGCCTGAGCTCAATAACAGCGATTTCAGAGAATTTGGAAAAGAGGACATCATGACACAATGAAGAGAACTTTTCTTGAAATTTGCCCTGAGCTCTGCAAAAGGTTTCTGCACACACCCCTGCATACTCCAAATGTGTTCACAGTTAGAGTTTAGTCTTGAAAAATATGAGGGATCTAGAAAGACCATTATGTTGTGTGACGAAACAATTATTATCAAGCCTTACCAAATGATTTAGTTAGCAGTTTCAAGATTATATTTGTTTACTACATAAGCAACCTCAACCAACAAATAAAACCTATGAGAACAATAATATAAATTCAGTTTCCACTTTCGCAAAACAGGTACTGCAATTTTGATTGATTTCTTCTTATTTCTAACAAAATTATCACTTGAAACAAAACATATTAAATCCTAAAGAACACTTCCATAGCAACGAAGTAGTCAAAGATTGCTAAAACATCTACGTTGTAAGTGCTGGTTGAGTAACTCCATAAGTGTTATTTGAATTACACGATCAGCAACATCATTTAAAGTATGAGATCAAAAGAGAGAAACCGTCTAATGATTCTTACCCGCTTTTGATCAAATTCCCTTCGTCCATTGGTCTGTTCTTCCAGGGTTTCTACTAAACAGAGAAGAATTCAGCACATAACCTCAAATTCGAATATATACCCAGAAAGGAAAACCTAAAGTTGGCAAACAAAATTCAATCCTTTTTAAAGAAAATGAAAGTTAGAGAAACAGAGTGATGATAATTGAATACTCCGATTGAAGAAAAAAAACTAAATCCTTCCCACCAAATTTTTGATCCTTAAATCTCTTGTTCCTCTAACCAGAAGATCCCAGAAGAAATCAAAATCAACTTTATTCTGTAA